TATTTGCTAAACGATACATAAAACGTAGAATTATAATTATATATTAGGGTGCTTTTTTTCACGACTATTTTTATTTTTTCGCTCCCAACTCAATATCTTCTACGAAAATTGTGCAATAGCTGTAATCTGCACCTGTAGGATCAGTTGAATCGCTAAGATTGATATTTGTTGAGATATAAAGCGTTTACATTGACAACTTTTTATAAATGATGATTTTCAATTGTTTATCATTAGAATTTCATCTAATTAGTTTTTTTCTACAGCCGGGTAATTAGAGAAAAATAAATAACTCAAACAATCAAGCATAATTATTAATAACATAAGTTTAAAGAGAAAAGATATATCTAACCTAAGAATTGATATAACGAGGTGTATTACATACAACAATGTTGTATGTAAAACAAATAACATGTTGTAACAACATGTTATTTGTTTTTGTGCTGCGATGTCGGTATTTGAAGTTGATGGAACGCACAAACAAAAAACTTTGGCGAGGTGTAGGTTCAATTCTTTCTCATAATATTTTTTATATTAAAAAGTACAATAAATATGTTACAATTTTTAATTGCTAACATATAAAAATATTCGATTTTAAAATATTTTATATTTAAAATGGCAACATAATATTTTAAAATTTACTATACCTACTTATTAGTAATGGAAAAAATCTAATTATAATAAGAATTAAAAACAAAATTGGTTGAGAATAATAATATTTTACCTTAAGGTTTAACATACATGGATATTTAAAAATTACCAAATATGCATAGTATCTGGCAATATACAAGATAGTTGTCCCAAATAGTAATATAAATTATAGTAAAGGGTATTATAATTATGGTAATCAGCATTATACTTTTCTCTCCGTGTGTTTTTAAGGGTATTCAAATTTCGGATGTTACCGTTTTGCAGGCTTTTTTATCATATCATATTCTTAACCTAAGGTAGCGATAATTAAACCATAATCTTTAAAGGAAGTAAGGACCCCTTTCAAATAACTTTAAGCATTTTTTTATTGGCCACACGGGCCGTATAGATTTTTTATCTTTTTATAAGCAGATGGGGTATCAAATTAAAAATTTGAAAAACAACCCTATAACAAAAATCAAAAAATTACTTTACGTACCTATGGATTAAAAAAAAATTAAAATTTGCTTGCTTATTCCGAAGCTGTCCCCAATTTACCTGATTTTTCAGTAATCATTACTAAACAGTCTCTGAGTTATCTAAACAATTTGGGTTTTCGGTTAAATCAAATCAATATTATTCACATTCTGCGGGAATATTTTTCTTGTTATTTGTTTTTTATTAATGCTGATGATATTAACATTTTTAATAAATAGGAAAACAAAATAAGGTTTAAGTATCGTTTAATTGAATAAAACAATAACAAAATTAAACACAAATTTAAATTACAAAAAATTTAAAAATTGTTAATCCACAAGGGGGTTTTCAAATCTGGAGCCCCCTTTGGAATCGAAAAAAACAAAATTTGTCATTTATTTATATTAATAATAATAAATATTAATATTATTAATAATATTATTAAGTAATTATCCAAATAAAGTGCATGCATTTTTCTCAAAATCCTCGATCAAACCCTGATCCTGACATAGACAGGGTGTTTCCTAAATATAGGGACACAACTCCTTACGATAAATAAAAAAAATTCATTTACATGTCCTAAAATGCGTCAATACCTATAGTGCAGGGTGATTTTTAATTGTTTATTTCTTTAATATCTCCCACATAAATTGCAAAAACCCTCCCTCGTGGATACGCCACTGGTCAGAATTTACCATATTTCGCTTTTTTAGTAAAATACGTAATTCCACTTGTTTGATTTATTAAATGATTTATTTAATTGACTTACAACTTGCAAATAGTTAAAAAAATTGGCCACACAGAATGCGAATTTCAAGAGATAAATAACGCGAGCCTGCGAGGGTTTACTTAATCTGTTGGCCCACATTTTGCTTTGGATCCATTTGGGGTGGAATTTCTTGTTGCACTGTGTTATATTGGAACAATTTGTTAAGGGATGACTTTTTTACGAAAGACCTCAATATCAAGGATCAGGTTTATTGAACAGCTTTTGGCTTGCATTTTCATTAAATTTTTTACACCGATAGTTTTTTATTCATACTTTTACTACTACTTATGTAGAAGTTTGACAAAGAAAACACTTGCATATTCGGTTAGTATGGAACGCCGTTTTAGTCAATATTATTTGTTTTTTATTTATTTTTTAACCATTTTTATAATTCTCTATTTATTTTGTTACAATTAAATTAATTGTTTAAAAAACTCTGCCTATTAAAATTGATTGATAAAATAAAATGTTTTTTATATTTAAATTTTTATTTTAAGTCTTAATAAGGAATTAAAATTCTAATAGATTAAATTAATTAAACTAACATAAAAATAGCCATAATTTAAATAAAAGAAATAAAATTAAAAACAAACAATTTCATTTAATTTCATTCATACATAATAAATTATATTAATAATTCAGCGCATTATTTTGATTGATGATTTAAAAGATTGTTCATAAAAAATGTTTGTTGAATTAAAATGTTACATGATAATTTTAAATGGAATTAATATGATTGATGAATTAAAATGATTGTTTATTTACATCGATTGTTAAATTAAATTATTACATGATAATTCGGCGAGGAAAACCTAGTTTGCGGACAGATTAGGAACTAAATTTTTTTACTCGACTTTTAAGATATCCCCATAAACAAAGTTGCCTAAAGTCAAATACGGGCTTCGTCGGGGCCAATTTGCGCATCCTCTTAGGAAAATCAGTTTTCTAGAAAAAGACCCTAAACAACGGGCAAAGACCGTTTTGAAGATTTGGTTTTAATTTTACGGCAGACTAGCGAGGTTTTATATCGGCTATTTTTAGAGCTGCTCATTCATTATAAATTATTGTTTCTTATTTTGCGCCAGATAATCTAAATAAGTGCGGGACAAACTGCTTACCAACACTACACCTTTTCTAGTTGATATTCAGAAAGTAGCAATTGATATTCAGAAAGCAGCAATTGATTTTCAGATATTGCAAATGAAATTCAGAAAATAGCAAATGTAATTCAGATATTTCAAATGATATTCAGAAAGTAGCTGATGTAATTCAGATATTGCAAATGATATTCACAGTAGCAATTGATATTCAGAAATTACAAATAGTATTCAGACAGTAACAATTGTAATTCAGAATATGTCAATTAAAATTCAAAAATTAACAAATAATAACATTTTCATACTTCATTTTACTTATTTTCTAAAATCTCAATTTAATGTATTTCTTTGTATATTGCTTTGTTTCCATGGAATTGACAATAATAAACAAATTTATCACCATTTAATTAGGTATATTTGTCATAATTGTCAACTTATTGCAAGTAAGGACCGAATGTTTGTTCATTTGTACTTTATATAAATTTCATTTACTTAGTTAATAAAGATAACGTGTACTTTCATTCATCATCGATTTACTGTATGCAACCCCCTGAAACAATTGCTGCGGCTAAATTACATTTGATTTAATCTGAAAAACAATTGCTACTTTCTGAATTACATTTGCAAGTTTCTGAAAATCAATTGTGTTATCTGAATTACAATTGCTACTTTCTTAAAATCAATTGTGTTATCTGAATTACATATGCTACTCTCTTAAAATCAATTGGAATAGCTGAATTACAATTCCTACTATCTGAATATCAACTGAAATAACTGAATTACAATTCCTACTTTCTGAATATCAACAGGAAAAGGTGTAGTGCCGAACAATACCGAGCAGCTTTAGGACAAACGCTATAGCGTTTAAGTATACTTAGTAATAGAAACGAAGAAAATTAACTAAATTAAGTTATTTTTGACATATTATTAATTTTTAGATACTATTTTTTAAAGAAATAAAATTAAACTTTTTATTAAATAATTATAATCGTTCTCTCCAGATTCAAAACAACCTGGCAACTATGGTTCTACACCTTTTCCAGTTGATATTCAGAAAGTAGGAATTGTAATTCAGTTATTCCAGTTGATATTCAGATAGTAAGAATTGTAATTCAGCTATTCCAATTGATTTTAAGAGAGTAGCATATGTAATTCAGATAACACAATTGATTTTAAGAAAATAGTAATTGTAATTCAGATAATTCAATTGATTTTCAGAAACTTGCAATTGTAATTCAGAAAGTAGCAAATGTTTTCAGATTAAATCAAATGTAATTCAGCCGCAGCAATTGTTTCAGGAACAGTGGATTGCATACAGTAAATCGATGATGAATGAAAGTACACGTTATCTTTATTAACTAAATAAATGAAATTTATATAAAGTACAAATGAAGAAAATTCGGTCCTTACTTGCAATAAGTTGACAATTATGACAAATATACCTACTTAAATGGTGATAAATTTGTTTACTATTGTCAATTCCATGGGAACAAAGCAATACATTAAATTGAGATTTTAGAAAATAAGTAAAATGAAGTATGAAAATGTTATCATTTGTTAATTTCTGAATTTCAATTGACATTTTCTGAATTACAATTGTTACTGTCTGAATACTATTTATAATTTCTGAATATCAATTGCTACTGTCTAAATATCATTTGCAATATCTGAATTGCATCAGCTACTTTCTGAATATCATTTGAAATATCTGAATAACATTTGCTATTTTCTGAATTTCATTTGCAATATCTGAAAATCAATTGCTGCTTTCTGAATATCAATTGCTACTTTCTGAATATCAACTGGAAAAGGTGTAGTTTTTTTCTTTTCCTCTGATAATCAGAGTATGATTTGTCATCCTTGTCTTTAGCCTTACTTACTTGATTCTATACGGTCTGTATAATATAATATTATGTATAAAATATGTGTTTATGTGTATAAAAAAAAAATATTTCATTATAAGTAAAAACTTGCAATTTATGAGAAAAAAATACTTAAAAATGCATTTAAATTCTAAAATATTTACTTACATAAAAATCACCCCTCTCATCAGTGATAAATGTTCCTCTGAAAAATAATTATTCTACACCTTTTCCAGTTGATATTCAGAAAGTAGCAATTAATATTCAGAAAGCAGCAATTGATTTTCAGATATTGCAAATGAAATTCAGAAAATGGAAAATGTAATTCAGATATTTCAAATGATATTCAGAAAGTAGCTGATGTAATTCAGATATTGCAAATGATATTCAGACAGTAGCAATTGATATTCAGAAATTACAAATAGTATTCAGACAGTAACAATTGTAATTCAGAATATGTCAATTAAAATTCAGAAATTAACAAATGATAACATTTTCATACTTCATTTTACTTATTTTCTAAAATCTCAATTTAATGTATTTCTTTGTACGAGCCCTAACCACATAATGTTCGGACACTTCATAATTTATACAGAAATTTTTTTCGTGAATACTATCTCAAAATTATTAGAAGTTATGAAAAATTCAGCTTATTTTGGCATATACCCCTCGAAGCGATTTGTATTTTTAAAAAGTTTACCTTTTATTTTTAGCTTTTAAAAAAAGGCTAACTTTTTAACTTTTTTTTGTATGAGTAAAAAAAGTTATAAATGGACCCATTAAAAAGAGCATAAAATATTATACAAACCCTGAAAATTTGGTAAAAAATAAATAAGTTATAAAAAAGTATAAGTAATTTAAAAATGCTAATTTTAAAGAGTTTTTGCAATTTTCTTAGGAAACGGGAGATTTTGCAGATATATATATCGCTATAACTTTCTTATTATTTATACAATTTTTACCAAATTTTCAGGGTTTGTATAATATTTTATGTTCTTTTTAATGGGCCCATTTATAACTTTTTTACTCATGCAAAAAAAAGTTAAAAAGTTAGCCTTTTTTTAAAAGCTAAAAATAAAAGGTAAACTTTTTAAAAATAAAAATCGCTTCGAGGGGTATATGCCAAAATAAGCTGAATTTTTCAAAACTTCTAATAATTTTGAGATAGTATTCACGAAAAAAATTTCTGTATAAATTATGAAGTGTCCGAACATTATGTGGTTAGGGCTCGTATATTGCTTTGTTTCCATGGAATTGACAATAATAAACAAATTTATCACCATTTAAGAAGGTATATTAGGTCATAATTATTAACTTATTGCAAGTAAGGACCGAATTTTGTTCATTTGTACTTTATATAAATTTCATTTACTTAGTTAATAAAGATAACGTGTACTTTCATTTATCATCGATTTACTGTATGCAACCCACTGTTCCTAAAACAATTGCTGCGGCTAAATTACATTTGATTTAATCTGAAAAACAATTGCTACTTTCTGAATTACAATTGCAAGTTTCTGAAAATCAATTGTGTTATCTGAATTACAATTGCTACTTTCTTAAAATCAATTGTGTTATCTGAATTACATATGCTACTCTCTTAAAATCAATTGGAATAGCTGAATTACAATTCCTACTATCTGAATATCAACTGGAATAACTGAATTACAATTCCTACTTTCTGAATATCAACTGGAAAAGGTGTATTATTAATTAATTAAAAAGGTGTTATATATTATGACTGCATGCCGTATTTAATAATATCGTAGTAATAATCGTAGTCGTAACAATAATAAAATAAAGGGTTTTATAGAAAATTTAATTTTTAAATTATTTGCTATAAATTAAAGATTAAGAAAGTAGCCAAAATTTGCATGGATTAGACTGTGCAGCAGTTTAAAGGTCATAAAAAATTCTTGGTTCGACCTTTTGCCCGAGGTGAATGCAAATAGTATCTATGATATATAATAAATATATTAAATTATTGCGTTGTGGCCTGTACTGGGACCACATTTGTTGTAAAATGATGTGTGTATTTTGAAAATCGGGTGAGAATTGGTTTAAATAAGCTAAACATGCAAAAACCTAGGTATGTTTTGGTATTGCACAGATTTTTGTGTTGAACACAGTTTTTTTATGAAAAAATGTAGTAATATTAAAGCACAGTCAGGTTCCAGCACTTGACAAGGCAAGACGCATTGTATCAGCGAGAGCTCTTAAAACGTAAAAGTTTAAAGTTTAAAACCAACAATAATTTCTCAAAAGTGCAAACCAATTATAGTGAAACAACTACAGTGAGTATAGACTACCCTACGGTCAAGAATGAGATAAGAGTTAAGTGATAAGAAAGTGAATGTGATAACCGAGGTTCTGGGTGGTCATTCCACCCCTTAACTGGACGCTTTTCACTGGACAAACAAAAAAGAACAAAACCAACAAACAATTTTCATAAAGTGCAAACTAAATTAGTGTAACGGTCAATAAAGAGTGAAGTGTTAAGTTATAAGAAAGAGTTAAATGACAAGTTTCAGCTTCGTCCTACCACCTGTCATTGGACGCTTTTCACTAGACAAACAAAAGAGGTCAAACAAGAGGGGAAGTGGCCATCCGCAAAAATTGATAGGTATATGCATGTCCTAATACATAATTTGCAAACTAAACACGATAGATACCTTTAAAACCCTAAGAAAAGCACACTGCTTAAACACTAGAAAATAAAACAATAAACATCAGTAACAATAGAAACATTAGAAAGACAATACTAACCAAACACCATAAAATATTAAAGATACACCAAAGCTGAGTACGACAATAAATCTGTCAACAACAAATGCGTAAGGCATGAAACCCAGTAACTTAAAGAACGTTAATTTTAACCAAAACGAGACCAATAATAAACATTTGACACTTAAAATATAAACTAACACTCAATAAATCATGAAAACTCAAACAGCATACTAATCAAACTCTATTGGATTTGTAAACACATTATATTATAACAGAATAATTGCGCTTGTCATTTGTTTAACTAATAAATAAATGCAATACTTAATTTTGGAAATTAAGAAAAAAAGACAAAACAATTCTACCACAAAACGTGCTTGGGCAACACAATAACTCAAAAATTATTATAAATTTGGCAAACAATTAAAAAAACATCTTATCCAGCTATGGATTGTTTTCGGCCTCAAGACTAAAGACACATGTGCAGGAACAATCCTACTTGGACACGGATACAAACAATAACGACAAAAACGTAGACCAAGTCGTAGGCTCCTGCAGCAAAATAACAACTCCTGAACTCCATACAGTAGTCCCAAATGTTTGGAGTAATACTAACTGCCTGGTCTAGGGGGGTACCGCGTCGTACTTTGAGTCGGCGTAATTGTCCCTCAAACACCAAAATATCTATCCCTCCCGTCCTACCTCCTTTATGACCCTACTGGGCGTATAGCATCGGCTCGGCGAACCCGGGAATGGCTACTAAAACATTTTTCTATCATTAGAAAAACAAATCCATAATATAATACTTTAACAACAAAATTATTTTCGTGTCATAGCAAAATTAAGATGGGTTTAATGTTTATTAATTAAATAAAGAAATTATTAAGGTAATTAATTTAATTTTATTTTTTATTATTATCTGCAACTTTAAAATAAATCGCATATTACTTTAAACTACTACAAGGTGTTCTACAATCCCAACCCTTATTAATATATATGAATTTCCCCCCCCCCTTTAAAGCGATTTTCATTTATGTTTCCTAAAGAAGCATAATGAAGAGATAATGATGGTTTGTTGAGGGTGGACCAGATGTTTTTTTTTTCAAGGTAGTGGCATTGCAGTCACTCAAGAAGCAACTTTAAATTTGCAATTTAAATTATAATTCCAATTGCAAATTAAAACTTGACATTGCCAGTTACGATTTCAAGATAATCCTAATCAAATATTTCAGTTAGAATTAGAACGTTGTTTATTTTAATAATTAGTTTTAAAGTGGTCATTAGGGCCAGCCTGTTTATGTTAATTACGCTAATCAATTTAAAAGGTTGTTCTTGTTTAAGGACTACTTTAATTAACACCACACTGCCAAAAATATTATTCGTACACGTATAACAATATTTGCCAATTAAAATTAATTTAATTGTTTAAGTGTTGTTTTAACCAGAAAATGTTTGAAGTATTATTTTTAAATCAGCATTTTATTAATCAAAACAATATAAAACTTTTGGTATAACATTGTTAATTTGGGGATCCTAAGAAGCTGCAGAATAAAAGAACAAATGATTTGTTTATTTAAAACTTATGCAATTAAGAACTATTAAATATGTTCCAATCCTTGATGATTTTTATAAAACGTCGATCACTAATTGATCTATAAGACTGCAGTCGCTTTAAAGTAGAGTTGTTGACTATTAATATCCACTAAAGGCAAATAAAAAGAATAAACATTTATACACACTTTGGAATCGTGTAATTCTCCATGATACGAGTTTAATGAAACTGACTGATTACATAATATATAATGTAATAACAGTTCATGGGCGCCCATAACTATGGGCAAGGGTGCACAATTTCCAACCCAACTTTATCTTCAAAATACATATATTATTACCTAAGGTAATAAATTATTACTAATGAATTTATTTTATTTAATAGTACTTTTTAATGAGAATATTGCCAAAAAGTTATTGTTTTAAAATCACATTACATATTTTTTCCTGCTTTTTTCCAAACAGAAATTGAATAAAAAACCTAATTGAAAAATAATTGTTGCAACAAAAGGACAGAGGTTCTAAACAACATTCCAAAAAAGAATCTTGAAAAATTATTCTATGACTTGATTAGGTAATCGTGTTAATTTGGGTTTTGAAGCAGAAGTCCACCATACAGGGTGTACTGGAAATGTTGGAAAAAAATTAATAGTGTATTCCTTGATAAACCTGGTGTACTGAAAATTCTTTACATTTACCTAGTTAAACAATATAAAAAAAGAAGAAAATAATTTGGACATATTTGAAATGTTCATTAATAGAAATAAGGCAATAATTTAATTGGAAGAAAGTGATGTTAAATCGTTATATCTGTCAGATTAGATTTTATGGTAGTATACAATAGGCGACTATGATCATTTTAAAATTTTGTTATGGGTTGTGTTAACTCAGGGTTGGATGCTCCCGTGGACGAGTTTTGGTTAGTGCCGCG